GCTCGACCCGACTCTGCTTACATTGCTCCACCAGTTCAGGCGCGCTCGTTATGCACGAGTCGCTGGGCTGCCGTGGGTGCATGGCACCGATGCCCCGCGAGGATGGCCATGACCTCTGCCCTGCGTGCCTGGGTATCGGGCATTTGAGACAGGGCCTGACTGTGGACGCCTGCTCCAATTGTGCGGTACTGCCACTCTCTGTACGCGTGGAGCGCCTGGCGGCCCTGGATCCGGATGAGGGCTCTTCGGAGGTGCCGCCCTGCCTGCCGCCTGCTGCCCAGCCCTCTGGGTCTAAGCGTGCGGCTGTGTCCACTGCTTCCTCGGCTCCGCAGAGGAAGCGTAGGGTGCCTGCAGGGTTGTCTGCACAGATGGACCACCTTGCGTCCGAGATGGCCCAAATGAAGGCACTTCTGCAGGATGTTCGCCCGGTTTCGGGGGAACATGTGCTAGGCCCTCCTGTGCCGGACCTGGCCCCGTTGTGGGAGGACGATGTGATGTCTGTGGCTGCATCTGACACTCATTTTCGTCTTGACCCTGAGGAGGTTGATTCCAGGGCCTCTGACGCTGGTTCCTTGGCGTCCACGGGGTGCCTGGACGGAGAGGAGAGTGGGGCGTCCTCTGCCGTCCGCTCTGCACTCGCCCACTTGGGGCTTGATGTCCCGCAGGGAACTGTGCCGTCTGGTAGCGCCTTCTTTAAGCGACAGCGGCCCCTTCCCTCTGTTTCTGTGCCTCCTTCGATGGAGTACGTGAAGGAGTTACATGCATGCTGGACGGATACAAAGGCTATGTCCAGACTGACATCCGATGGCCGGGCTTTGGCTTCAATGCAGGATGCCCCCCAATTTGGCTTGGGCCACATGCCGCCCGTCGAGCCGGCGGTGGCCTCCTTGATTGTTTCGCCGGAGGAGGCCCTCCGGTCTGATCCGAGGTGCCCTAACCCCCAGTGTCGCCTCACAGATGAGCTGCTGTGTCGGGCGTACGATACTGGGGCGCGGATGGGGCGCATGGGGAACTCTCTTTCCCATTTGTTACTGGGCCTTTCGAACGCATTGGAGGTTTCTACAGTCGATGCCCCGACCCAGGGACTGTTGGATGCGTCCCTCCACGCTTTTGCCCTTATGTCGCGGGAACTGGGCCGCCTGCTGTCGACCCTGACTCAGACACGTCGGCAGGTGTGGTTGGCACAGTCACCCCTCACTGAGCCCTGTAGGAGGACTCTCCGGAGTGTTCCGGTGCTTCCGGGGGAGCTCTTTGGTGCGGCTGCGCTTCAGGCGCTGGAGCGCACGGCGCAGGCCACCCGGACGCGTGACCAGCTGGTTGGGCTGCACCTGCGGGCCTCTCCACGGGTTGCCCCTCCTGCTGCTACTCCGCGGGTGTATGGTGTTCCACAGCCCTTTCCTAGGGGTTCGCGGCCACCTGGTGTCCCTCCGCCTGACCATAGGGGATTTCGGCCTTCTACCCGGCGGCCTCCCCAGATCGCACGGGCTCTCGGGCGCTCCCCCGGGGTCTCCAGGCCACGGGGGGCGCGGAGATGAGGTCAGGCCGCTGACGGTGGGTTCTTTTACCCGGGAGCTGTTGGACTACTGGACCGCTCACACCTCAGACCTCTGGGTGTTGGGCACGCTCTCCCGGGGGTACACTCTCCAGTTCCACCGTCGGCCTGCGGTCCCTGGCCCCGTCAGGTGGACTGTGATCCACGACCGGGCCAGGACACTGGCACTGTCCGTAGAGATTGCCACCTTGCTGGACAAGGAGGCTATAGTGCCTGTGGACCCCCTGCTGGACCCAGGGGGCTTTTATTCGATTTATTTTCTAGTTCCGAAGAAAACTGGCGACTTGTGTCCGGTTTTGGACCTTCGGGGCCTCAATGTGTTCCTCAAGACGCTATCGTTTCGGATGTTGAGGACCCCGGAGCTGTTGCAGGCAATATCTCCGGGCGATTGGTTCACATCCATCGACCTGAAGGATGCTTATTTTCACGTGCCGATTGCCCCGCATCACCAGCGGTTTCTGCGTTTTGCTTTCCGGGGGCGGCATTATCAATTTCGGGTGCTCCCCTTCGGGCTGTCCCTGTCCCCCAGGGTCTTTTCCCGGGTCGTTGCGGCGGCCTTGGCCCCTCTTCAGGCAGGGGGGTTGAGGGTCCTGCCTTATCTGGACGACTGGCTCGTGTGCGCCTCCAGTCGTGCCCAGGCCGTTCGGGACACTCAGACTGTCCTCGACCACGTTGGGCGTTTGGGTCTGCGGGTCAATGTTGCCAAGAGCAATGTGGTTCCGGCTCAGGCAACGACTTTCCTGGGGATGTACCTAGATTCGGTTGCCATGACCGCCCGTCTGTCGGCTCTGCGGGTCAATGGCATTGTGGACATGCTCCACCGATTTCAGCGGGGTCGGGCGTTGCCGTTCCTGCTGTACCTCAGCCTCTTGGGGAAGTTGACGGCGGCCTCTGCCGTTGTGCCGCTGGGCCTTCTCTCCCTTCGTCCCATGCAGATGTGGCTGAACGGCTTGCGTTTGGATCCGTCACGCTTCATTCACAGGCGACGCAGACTCCTGCTTTCGCCGCAATGCCTAGAGTCCCTATCCTGTTGGCGGGACAGGTCTTGGATCGAGAGAGGTGTCCCACTGGGCTCTCTTCCGTCTCGGAGGGAGGTGGTGCACACCGATGCGTCCCTCACTGGTTGGGGGGCGACGTGGCAGGGCAGGATGGCACAGGGGACTTGGTCTCCAGAGGTCCGCCTGCTGCATGTGAATGCCCTGGAGCTCATGGCGGTCCGCCTTGCTCTCGCGCAATTCCTCCCACGACTGCGTGGCCGGCATGTCATGGTGAGGTCCGACAACACCACGGTGGTGCATCACGTCAACCACCTGGGGGGTACCCGGTCCGTGACGCTGTTGCGGTTGACCCGGGAGCTACTGCTGTGGGCGGCCCCTCGCTTGGCAAGCTTGAGGGCCTCCTACATTCCGGGGGTGCACAATGTGGTGGCGGACCTTCTGTCCCGCCAACGCCCCCAGCCCGGGGAGTGGCGTCTCCACCCGGAGGTGGTGGCCAGCATTTGGACTATGTTTGGCGGGGCCGAGGTGGCCCTGTATGCGTCGGAGGCGTCGACCCACTGCCCGCTGTGGTTTTCCCTGACGGACGTGGCTTGCCCTCTGGGCCTGGATGCGCTGGCGCACGATTGGCCCAGTACTCTGCTCGACGCTTTCCCCCCTCTGCCACTGATTTTCCCGACCCTCCTGAGAGTTCTCCAGGAGGGGCACAACCTTCTCCTGGTAGCTCCGTTCTGGCCGGGCCGGATCTGGGTTCCATTGCTGCACAGGCTCTGCTGCGGCTCTCCGAGACCGCTGCCCCGACGGCGGGATCTCCTGTCCCAGCTGAGGGGGAGGCTCCTGCACCCCAGTCCCGAGCGGCTTCAGCTCTGGGTGTGGCCACTGAGGGGTCCAGTGCAATTGTCCCGAGGTATGGTGAGGGGGTCGCCCACACCATCTCCAATGCCAGGGCGCCTTCCACTCGACGACAGTACGCCAACTGCTGGAAGCTGTTTGACAAGTGGTGTCTGACGTGGGGACATGATGCTGTGCGTTGCCCGGTGCCTGCCATTCTGCAGTTCCTCCAGGATCTCATGGACCGGGGGCGCTCTCCCTCTACACTCAAGGTATATGTGGCGGCAATATCTTGTGTTCATGAGGGTGTGGCCGGTTCTACGGTGGGGAGTAACGGGGATGTTTCCCTGTTCCTGAAGGGTGCTCGCCGTCTTCATCCCCCGCGACGGCCCATGGTTCCACCGTGGGACCTGACGTTGGTTCTGGAGGCGTTGCGGGCTCCCCCGTTTGAGCCCCTGGATCGTGTGGACCTGAAGTGGGTATCCCTTAAGACCGCTTTTCTTCTGGCTATGGCCTCGGATAAGCGTGTGAGTGAACTGCAGGCTCTGTCGTTTCACGAGTCCTGCTGCAGATGGGATCCCAATGGTCTGGGGGTTACGCTTTGGCCGGATGCTTCCTTCCGCCCAAAGGTGTTCACTGGTGCGGTCCTTCCACTTAGTTTGGCCCGGTTTGGTACTGGAGCCTCTGTAGAACCGCTTTGTCCTGTCAGGGCGTTGGAGGTTTACCGAACTGCCACAGCCAGTGTGCGGGGGTCGGATCGCCTCTTCGTGTGCTATGCCGGCCCCAGGAAGGGCCAGGCTCTGTCGTCCCAGCGCCTCTCCAAGTGGGTTGTCGAGGTGATCAGACAGTGCTACCTCTCCCATGGGCGCCAGCTGCCTGCTGGGGTGAGGGGTCATTCGACCAGGGGCGTCTCTGCCTCCTGGGCTGCTATGAGCGGTGTGCCTCTGGACGCCGTCTGTGCGGCCGCCTCCTGGACGTCGCAGTCTACCTTCGCGACGTACTACAGGGTCAATGTGGCGGCCCCTGGTCCGCTGGAGGGGGTGCTGCGGCACCATTCGACGTTATGATGTGGGTGTGTGCCTCTCGTTGACCCCTCGGGACCTTGTTGGTATTTGTCATCCAGTGCTTAAAGCACCGCCTCTGGCGGTCAGGAAGGATGAAATAGAACGAGAGTTACGACTGTAACTACGGTTCTATGAATCCTGGAGGACCGCCAGAGCGTCCAGTCCCTCAGGGCCACGGTCTGCTTGCGAGGTGAAAAGGGGCTGGGCTCTCGTGTCACGTGACCTATATAGACTCACGGGGGTCACGAGGAGGTCACAAGTGACTTTGTTGTCATTTAATTCTCGAACTGCGCATGCTCAAAGATGATCATTCAGTGCTTAAAGCACCGCCTCTGGCGGTCATCCAGGATTCATAGAACCGTAGTTACAGTCGTAACTCTCGTTTTACTACCGGAAGTACCATATGCTAACGTGGCGCATGTGTACCTCTCCTACAATCCGCCTTGTGGCAGCAGCGCTCCTTCATCCGACATTAGCCTATTTAGCATCAGGCTAACTCCTCACAGCACACACGCAGAGGCTAACGGGCTCATCGCACTGCTCACTGCTCACTGCATCATGGACCGAGGCTACGGATCAGGTAGCAACTCCACTCTGTTCTAAATCCACTCACACACGTATTACATCCATTAAAGTTTTAGAATATACATATTGTATGTAGGGGATCGAACGCCACACCCTCTGCGGAATAAGCTAATGCTAGGTAGTGGCATTTCCTCACCACAACTGCAACATTCTATCAGACCGCATGTCTCTGCCAAAACCATAATCAGATAATAATTACTATATATAACTTGACACTAACATCAACTCGTTATTTCCCCCGAAAAGACTATGTAAGTTATAAGTATTTTATGGCAAGGTGATCATCATTGTTCGGGAGGAGGCAAATGCTAGGTAATTCAGGGGCTAACTTTCAGTCAGCAGGAACTCTCATACATTTACTGGGGGGCATCAATAACGCAAACGTGTGTTATTGTGATGTGTAGCGTAGTCTGGGACAGCCTATGGTGAGATTTGCATGACTCCGGCTCTGCACAGGGTGGTGTGTGGAAGCACTGGATTGACGTTAGCCCATTGTTTAATGCGCTGGTTTTCTCCAACACACGTTGGGGATAATACTATATTGGTTATATATTACCATGCATAAATATACCAGCTGAGTTAGGAATAGTGATTTTGGTCAAGATTTGGAAAATGAGTTGGGAAGAATAAACATTATGTAAGGCCAGAAAGACCGTAGATTGCTAGTCCCGCCCACTTGGCAGTTCGTTCTGTGGTCACCAGAGGAGTTTTTAATCAAAAAATATGTATTTCCATTATTACATAGTTGTGTTTATTATTTTGACGTGACAATGTGCATATAGTTGTCACGAAGGAAATCCATTCATGCTATGTTAACGGTACATTGTGTAATGTTTGCTGCCATCTAGCGTTGAGATCTTGTATTGCAGTGCAGAGTACTATGGAAGCCTTCGATATACGATATGTCTTTGCTCCTCAACGCTGTTGTTCACCTGACTGCCAAGGAAAGAATCCTTTAGTTTGATAAATGACCGTTTCTCTCCAAACGTCTTGGCCACTTGACACTGTAGCGTGGCGGCGATATGTAAACTAGACAGTGTTCTGAAGTGGCACCCGCTGAACAGAGGCTCTGATCAGTTTTACCATAGACCTTTAAAAAATATATAGTTTTACAATTATGATGTGAAGAGATTATACGCATGGAGGATTAACGTCTGCGGGAGCTTACAACCACAATGATCAGAGAGGACAGGACATATACACAGCCGCGTCAGAACATGGCTAAAAGCTTATGTTATTATTAGTTAGCTAGAGCGAAACACATTCCTGATGCCTGTAGTGCATGTAGTAGAAATGTGAATGTCTTCTTTGCAACTGGGTACTGCGGATAGCGGCTCAAACCCAGTCCTGCGGCAGAACAACCAGTACATAACATATGTGAAGTGTAGGAAATGTTTACTCAAAATGGAAATTGCTGAAATAATGTCAATGGAGAACTTACTTAAAAAAAATATCAATGTATAATATTGAATTAAAGTAATAAATAATCAATCAATATTATTAATTCATACATCATTCATTATCTGTGGATTGGTAGTTGTTAGTTTTTAGTTGTGTATTGTGAGGACATAGCAATGTTTGTACAATACTTGTATGACAGTGTTAAACTATAGTGGTCATGGACTGTTGAGGCGGAGAAAGGAGAGAAATGCTACACCCCTAGCTCTGTTTGATGTTTTACCTTTTTACTGTTTCACTTTTCCTAATCTCTTCAGTATTGCGGACTGATGTGTGTGTCTTCTGTTATCTTCAGGTTATTCTGGTTGGGGAGGTGGTGGTCCAGGCGGCAGAGGTAAGACTTATATTGAAGGAACATTCATCAGCTTAATATGCTTCTCATGCTGATAGTTCCATTGGGTTTGTGGTGCACTATCACTGCCTGTCCCCTCACTTGCCTTCCAATGTTGTCTAATTGGATGTTGTAATGATTTGGGTCGAATCAAGAGATTCGTGACCAATAATTTACAATGCATTGCAATGTATAATAATTGGATTCTTTTATTGTTTTCATGACAAAAATAACATTTTATTGCATATATGAATGTTAATTTATGTTAGTTGAATGAAAATTGCATACCTTAAGGCATTTAAATTTAATTGTCAAAGGCTTTCACAGGCAGTAAGATCCATGCTTCCTCAGTGATCAGAGGTGGCACGTTTTGTTTGTTATTGTGTTGGGGGCACACTGTGACGTGCGAAAACGCAAAACTCCGGTTATCTGTCTACACGCAACTGCATAAACGGAATTTTCAAAAATCTCCACTTTGCCCGGAGTAGTTTTATATATTTGTTTATGATGCGTTGTCATGTGGATGAGAGGTTCAAACAAATAATAATATCTGCGGTTTAGCTGATACCCGGCTACGTGTGGACGGGGCCTCAATTTGACCCTGGGGTCAAATATTTGGTGTCTCGGAAAGACACTTTGGTCTGTCTGGAAATCTGGAAAAATTTTTGATGGCTTTATATTGTTGTTCTGTCCGTCACAAAAGGCAGAAAAGCTGAATGAAAGCCCTGAAGTACTTGCCTGTTGTCATCCACAGGAACACATGCTGATTCAATCATCGCCAAGATCAACGAGCGTCTGGATATGCTATCACAGTTGGAGGGTGGTGTGAAGACTGAAAGGAGGTGAGTGCAGTTAATGCAGGTGCCACTAACATAACCTGTATTCTTCAGGTCCAGAACGGCTCTGAGGGCTGTTTCATAAAAGTAACAAACTAAAGCTGGCCTCATTCACGGACTTGTCCCAGTCAGACCAAATGTGCAGCTGTAACTACACATACGACTGGAGCAACAATACAGAATAAGTTTCAATCAACCCTGTATAAGAGAGGACACAGCTGATGCCTTCGCCTCTACAAGATACCTGGTGGTTGAGACAAAGGGGGAGATTAGTTCATATCTGTCCTGCACACTAATGAAGTTGTTCACATCAATCTACTCTAAACCAGCGTGAAATTGTTTTTAAGGATGTAGAATTCATTGCGGCTGTCTTCGTGATCTTCTTTGCTTCTCCATAGAGCGCCTCAGTATTTGGTTACGTGTAGCTAAACTTGTGTCTTAAGAGAAAATCAAATTGTGGTGTGGAGGCAGCACACAAGGTCTGTGTCCAGCAGTGAAGCACGGGGACTGCATCCACAATCTTAACCTCTTAACACCCGCCTCATTTTGGCTTGTGCATAAAAGTTCGGCATACCCAAATGTCTTTGCTTATTTAAAACACACATCTTACATGTCACATGCTTGTGTGATGCTTCATTTTAAAGCTAGAGCCTTCTAGTTTATGTAAATATACACTAAAATAATGTTTGTCATTCCTATTTCACTCTGTATCCTTTGAAGTTTTGGATAAAAAACTATTTTTTTAGCCTCGCCTAAAATTTTCAATTTCTAAAGGCCCTAAAAAAGGCATACTTCATTGTAAGTTCACAATATTCAAACCCTATGGTCATTGTGTTGTTGACAGCAACTGTCTAAAGTTTCAGACTTCTAAGTTTTATAGTTTATATGCAGTTTCTCCTTTTCATCAACTAGTGCCATTTGGCACAATTTAGCACAATTGTGCCAAATTGTGTACATCTGCTATTGCCAGCAGAACATATTAAAAATAAAAACTGCTCACCGGCGCGCCGGTGGATGTAAAGAGGTTAAACCAAATGTTTCTTCCTTCTACTTTGAATAAGGACATTTTTTAGGGGAAACTACCTTTTTTTTTTTTTTTGAAGACTCAATCAATTAAACACAAGTAAAATCCATGCTACCACAGTCAAAATGAAGATTGAACACCAAAGTATATGGGTGTGGTATTCTGAATTCTAATCAACCAGGTTCTCATGTGGTGGTGTGCCGCATTTGACCCCATGTACTGCCACATTCACATCACACTCACCAAAGAAGAATCCGGCCTGAGCCGCTCCGAGACCACCCCCTTCAGGCGCTTTCGGAGCGGCCGTTTCCTAAGATGCAGCAGTGATGTTGACTTCACTCAGCCCAGCTGCACCACTTTCATTTGGATTGCCTTACTCTGACCTAAGTAGGGTGTTTTCACACAATGTCTTGATGTTACCCCTGCTCTGGACCAGGCTAAGAGCACAGCCAAATTGACATAGTAGGACTCGAGACTTGTTTATGAAATGCAAAGTGAACTAATTTTATGAAACGGCCCTCAGGTTTTTGTTTTTGTTTTTGTGTGGCTATGTATTATGAATATAAATGTAAGACCGTAAAGTGTTGCCATATTACACTCCCTACATTTGAAGTTATTGTGGCTTGTAGTTTTAGTTAGTAGTAATAAATTAATAAATTGTATGAATTCCAATTTTTGGCACAATATCAAGCCATTATTGGTTCTAATGGAGCCTTGAATTAAGCTATAGAACCAAGCTGCAATGGCCCCAACAGCCAGAGCCCAGCCTGTCTTAGGGCCTGCGCCGCTCCTGTTCAGGCCTGTTTGGAGTGTGAAGAGCCTGAGAGCATGGAACTCCAGCAATCTTCTGTCTGTGACTGCTCTCCTCCTCCCACAGGTATGACCACTTTGAGTCAATGGACTCACGCTCTTCCATGGCCTCCTCCCGAGATCTCTACAGATCTGGTGGCTATGGTTTCGGGGCTGACAGAGGTGACAACATGCTGTTGGCTCACCGTGGAGGCTCTGGCTTCGGAGGAGGGATGGGGGTGGGCTCAGGGGCAGGCTATGATGACTTTTCCTCATATGGAGTTGCTAAGATGCGACCAAATATGAGGGAGCCATTCGGCGGTGGCCAGGGAGCCAGCTCTGGAGGATGGGCTTCATCCAACCGCCACAGCCCCCGACGGGGCGGCAACACGGGGGGCTTCGGCGGTCACAGGGGCCACTCTCCAGGAGGTGGTAGAGGCAAGCTCCCATCTCTCCTGTCCAACCGCATGTACCCTGAGAGCGGAGGCTTCCACCAGGGCCCTCATGACTTCTCCGGCAGGAATTTTGGAGGGGGCCCACGAGCTGGCCGCCAGCGCAAGAGACCCCTTAATAAAGTAAGTACCTCCATAGAGCTCCTCAAATGGTGCCCACATTTGTGCAGCTCAGAATGCATGACTGCCCTCTACCTGAGCTGGTCTCACCACACATCCAAGAACAGGTCCCGATCACGGGCCGTGATTCTACTCCAGGTCACACATGCACTACATTCTCTGACGGATCACTTTAAGTAAACAGAGATAATGTCATGTGCCAGTCACTTGGGTGCACAGTAGGCTCTTGCAGTAGCACATGTTCAACTTGACTATGTGCTGTAGCAGGTCAAACAACAGCCCCAGAAGAAAAAGAAGAAGGGGCCACCTGAAGGAGATGAGCCCGAGTCCAAGATCAACAAGACGGAGTCGACAGGAGCCGATTCTGCTGCTGGGGGTGGTTCAGGTACTACAGCCTCTCCCCACACTTACCCAAGCCTTGATCAAAGTGCTGACCTCTTTGCTCTCACCTGTCTCCCTAGAGCCACAAGACAAGAACGGACATGGGGATGAGTCCAAGCCTGCACAGGTACAGAGCTACTTAGGACTTGCTGTCAAAAGGGTTTGCTTCTTGCTCTAGTTTTCACAAGCATGTTTTTTGGCCTTTGTCAAATGTTTAGATGAGCTTTTGTCTGACAGAAAATTAAAGAGGACCACCCTCACTCAGCCAGGTCTGATTTGTTCTATTGACAAGACCTTGTTGGGACACAGAAAAGTTAGGTGCTTCACCTTTAATGCATCTGGCCACAGTGACTGTCAACATTAAAGCTGCACTAACTCACTTTGTGAAAATTTCGAATGTGAGCGCTGGGCTCGCTCTCTCTGCTCCCCCTCCCCGCACTCACGGAGCCATCACCCCCCACGACCCCTCTTGCCCTTAGCCTCACATGTGCTGTTTACGGAGCTCACGTCTCACAATATGGATCGCACATTTGAACGTGGATGGCGTGACCATAGAATGATAGAACAAGGAAGCGCGAAGGAACGAGACTTTCTTTTGGCTGTTTCGCTGAGTAAGCGGTAACAAAGACACGGGAAGTTTCAGGTTAGCCTCCACCGCTTGTTTACCTCAGCTGTCTGTGCTAATGAGACCTGTAGCTTTTCTCAAGAAAGTGGGGGCCAGTGGTCCGCTGTGACTGGTCCCGAAACCAATTCTCTTCCTTGTTGCACGAAAACTCGATCTAAAATAAAATGATACGCTAGCAAAAATCTGCGCTACTTTTTCTTCAAAAGGACGTATATCCCAATGCATTGCACGGATATGTATTGAATTTTCGTAATGAATACAAAAATAAAGTGAGGTAATGCAACTTTAACCTGGTGGAGCCACTACATTGCTGACAGCCAACGTTGGGGCCCGAAGCAATCTGCAGACGCGTAACCCCAATTTACAGTACCATTTAGATTACGATGACTACTGCATTTATCAATTCAGGTGCAATATCTGGTAGGTTAAGATCTGGTAGCTATTGTTTTGAGGCTGATTGAGGTCACAACATGGACAGTAAACTATGGAGGAATGGGTTTGGTAAGAAATACATTTATCAGTCTATAGTTCCATCCATGCTAGTATCAGCGATTTTCAGCTCAAACTCTCCTCACACACTGTGAACCTAGCATGTTCAGGCCTTGCACTTACAGGCCTTGTTTCCTTCCAGAGCACAGCTGCTGCAGACACAGCAGAAAAAGGTATTGTTTCCATTCTTCATTCTTTGGTAAATCACAAGAATACCATTGACCTTTAAGATATACATTTCCTGACCAGCTGAAGCAAAGACGGAGGGCGGAACGCCACAAAACAAAGGCCCAAGCCATCACAAGCAGATGAAGAACAGGAGGGGATTCATTGACCGGTAAAACGTTTTACCCATTACAATATGAATTAAAAGTTCAACAGCAAATCGAAAAAATCCTAGTGCTATTGAACGTATCGGTTAGAATGTTTTATTTCCCCAAAGAACTGGAAACTAACTCATTTTGTAATCTAATTTTGTGGCATGTGTATTTTCATGTACTTCTGTGCTTTCTCAGGCTGATGTACACATGCTCCGTGTGCAAGCTGCGCTGTTTCTACAAGGAGGACCTGGAAGCTCATCTGGAAAGCCGCTTCCACAAAGACCACTTCAAATACTTGCAGAGTCAGCTGACCAAGCCCACTGTAGACTTCCTGCAGGTACCGCATATAATAAGATAAACTTTATTGTTCTAAGGGAAAATTGCTGTTGGATACAGTGCTACACAGATCTGCATGAATGAGAAAAAAATGAAAAGGAACATTGTAGGAAAGTGCAGTAGTGCTTTGAAATCTGTTTGGTCAATACAGCTTCAAAATGATTCAAAAGGACCTACTATTCATGTTGATGCTGAATTGAAGTTTATTTACACCATACTGCTGTCAAAGCACAGCCATCTCATGTCTATATTTTATTTAACCTAGTGCTATCAAACAATAATAATGTGTAATCATGACTAATCACACTTATGTCAGTTAACTCGATATAATCATATATTTTTCCCTATTCTAAGGCTACGGTTACATGCGCATCCTAAAGCCCAGTTAAAGTGGGCCAGAGCCCACTTTGCGATTTGATCCGGGCTTTAGGTGCTATGTGGCCGCGGCAACTGGTCTTGGGCACGTTTGCTGCAAGTGGGCCTGAGCACGCTTCTAAAGCCCAGGTGAGGGGGCTCAGTGTGGCAGGTAGTGGGGGATGAGGTGTGGTGGGGACTTCATATTGTCCGTCACATTACGTCTTTGGTTGTGACGCGCATTTTCACATATGTCTCTCCCTGCACTTTCGTATTCTCCACTTGTGTTAAACCTTTCATATAAGCCCCCGGACTGTGGTTGAGGGGCGCAGGGGAGTGTGTCGCTCCCAGTGGGGGCGGGTCCCGGCTCAAGTGGCCAAAATGACGTGCGCTGACATGCTAGGACCCGGAATGAGAATTGGCCAATGCTAACATATAGCATCTTCTTACCTCTCAAACGTCTTTACAGGATGGTCCAAAATCTGGTTCTTGGCCCAAACCTCCGTTCCACATGTGTGTCAATGCTGAGGGGAGTGAATTTTTTTGGACCACTCTAGTTTACCGGCTGGGAATTTTTGAATTCACTCGTTCAAATAAATGGAGCTTGCGCCGGCTGACGCATGCGCAGATGCGTTTTGTTTTTCTTGTGGGCAGGACCACTCGCGGCCATTTTGGATAGCTCCAGTAGAGCACATTTTTTGGCCCATTTGTTTGACCGGCGGAGATAGGCGTGACTACGTCCGTTAATATATACAGTCTATGGTCGCTCCAGGGCCAAACGGAAGAATTTTCCTACGGGAATAACTCCCTTCTGTCCTCCTGACCCTCGCTCTCAGTGTGGTGCTATTGCAATAACACTTCATTCAGACATTCGAGAATCAGTCTTTAATTTAATCGCCAGAACACACACCAACACACACTTTTATCCTAACTGGCTCCGGTTGCTCTGCTCGTACGGCACTTTTTATTTTTTATTTCTCATTCATTTATTTCTCAGCGCTCACGCTCGTTACTAAAGAGGCGCACTCCCGTGTCCGCGGCGCACACACGCCTGTGCACACATTACCCACTGAGCTGCTGCACTCAGAGCAAGGGGAACAAGTGTGAGATGTGTCTTCCCCTAAACAACGTGATCCGTACTCGAGCTATTGACTACAGTAGCAGAATGTAAACTGGAAGAGAAACGGAAACTTCTCGGACAACAAGGTCGTCGCTGAAGTTGGTATTAGCGCCACCAGCTGGACCGAGCGTTGTACTTGTAGACTGTAAAGAATAATGGACGTAGTCACGCCTATCTCCGCCGTTCTAACTAATGGGCCAAACAATTTGCTCTACTGGAGCTATCCAAAATGGCCGCGAGTTGTCCCGCATAAGTCAGCCGGCGCAAGCTCCATTCATTTGAACGGGAGACTTCAGAAATTCACAGCAAGTAAACTAGAGTGGTCCAAAAAAATTCACCCCCCTCAGCATTGACACACATGTGGAATGGAGCTTTGGGCCAAGAGCCAACTTTTGGACCATCCTGTAAAGACGTTTTCGAGAGGTCTGCCAATGCTATATGTTAGCATTGGCTAATTCTTATTCCGGGTCCACCCCCATCGGCCCAGGGTGGCATTGCAAGTATGTCAGCGCACATCATTTTGGCCACTTTTGAGCCGGGACTCTCCCCCACTGGTTTTACTACAGCAGTTTCTTTGGCACGTTTGCGAAAACACGTTCTTGTGACTGCGGGCCGTTTTCAAACTTCTGTGGGGATGACCTGGGCCACTTGGCCTAGTTCGTTTGTAAAAAAAAAAAAAAAAAATACCTTTGACCGTGCTCTAAATGTCCCTTGATTATGGTTTGAAAAGGAATTGGCTGAAGCAAAAGGCTTAGAATAATCTAATTCCCTCTAAAGTGTTTTGTCTAATATAGGCTACTCGATCTCTGCATGCTTTTTTTTATTTCTTTTTACCTCTCACTCGGCCCTCTCAGTGGCTGTGTCTCCACTGCAGAGTGGGACCCCTCGGCAATGTCATGAGTTTTGATCACGGCGTAATTAATAATTATTTATTTTGCGGAGGGTAACCTGTTGTGGTCTTTGAGTTTTATTTATAGGCCTGCTTCGGTTTTTTTTTTTACTTTTCACTGCATTGTTTCTGAGTGTGATTAATCCCCAGTGCTGCAATTCCTCAAACCCAGTCTGAATTTCTACAGTGCTGTAGAAGGCAATTGCCTTCACCTCATCAGTCCATTTATCGTGCAACTTGCTGTTGTTGTTTGCTGTTTCCAGTGGCGTCTGCTAGGCTAATGCTACTTGGCTAAAGCTGCTAGATTTTAAAAATGCTGGTTGTTTTGGTGCTTTCTGCTGGTGTCAGCCTTCTCTAGCTTTAGCCAATCAGCGCTGGGTTAACCTCAAGCCCCACCAGGAACTGTTCAGGGCCAAACGGAGTACTTGGCCTGGAGGAGGTTGTTGGTTCCTGTAAATGGCTCTGTGGGGGAGGTTTCTGCAGTGGAGACACGCACTAACAGGGCTAGCCCTCTAGAATTACCCCAAAGTTCCTGCAATGGAAACACGACTAATGTGCAAAAATGGGGAATGGGGAAACATGGGGAATCCAGGATATATTATGTACAATAAAGTGGCAAATTAAAAAGTGGCAATCAAACAGCGTCAATAGTAGTGCAGGTTTTTCAGTCTTAATGCAGTGACTTGTTGTACAGTCTGACAGCGGTGGGGATAAAGGCCCTGCGGTAGCGCTTCTTCTTGCACTGAGGGTGCCACAGTCTTCCACTGAAGGAG